CAGCAGGATGTTTCACAAAAAAAATATTCTGCTCGTGCAGTCGCTATGTTCAAAACGCGCATCCTTAGGAATGGAGAATACCTTATATTTTTATACCATGGGCGCAGCATTATGAGATTTTTCATTCATATTCTAGTGAAATGATTTCTTGCAAGAGAGTTCCTAACATTAGGAATTAGGTTCCATAACAAAAGTAAATGAGATGTACTTATGTTTTAACAGTACAATTTTTGGTTTTGTTTATAAATTAATTCAGAAACGTAATATTCCTGGAACGTTGGCGAAAATAGTATATATGTGTGTGTTTATAGAAAATTTATAAAAACTTTGCTCAAATGTTGAGTAAATGTTTCATTTGAGCCTTAAAACATTTATTTAAATTTTGTTGTATGAAGTGGAAATTGAAACATGGAATTATATTGAGATGTTCATAACTATGTTTTGTAGATATTCGAAAAGTGTGTTATATTTTCGAAATATTAACAAACATTTAAGGGTTGATTGGATTAAAATTGGATTAAATAATTTAATAAATGTTTTAAAGTTCAAATGAAACATCTATTCAACATTTAAGCTTCTTAAATTCTCAATAAACATACTACTTCCCCAGGGCACGCGCGCAGTAATATGTAATTTTCACATGTGCGAATTATGTTGATAAGAAGGCGATATCAATAATATCACTTATTTTAATAAAATGCATCGCTTGCCTCGAACGATTCAAGTCGCAAAAATTATTTATACCTATTGTCTTTTGTATATCAATCGTGGAAAACGAATACAATTGATAAGCCATATATTCTTTCGATAATAAGACAAAATACGAGCTTGCGTGATGCAACAATGGTGTGTTCCTGAAACCTGGAATCTTTAGGTTGATTGCCCAAGCCACGAGATCGACTCGAGCTAACGCTTGCGGTGCCAGGGGAAATTAAGGTGAGCCGAAGCGTGGTGAGAGCTCGTTACGTATTTTAGCGTAAATACCGACACTCCCGCATTTGCCCGCCGTTCGTCTAGGAAGCCGATAGCGAGAAACCTTTCGGGCAATTTCGACAATGAACTTTACCGCGCGTGCTCGCGTTGCGTCTAACTATGTAAAGGTGTCTTTACATAATTCGCAAATCGCAAAACGTAGTTCGCAAATGCTGACGCAAAATGACAATCACCGCACGCAAGATACACGCAGATGAAAACTAACTGCACGCAATGATAAAACAAACGCAACTCTTCATTCTACGTCTGCGTTTGTGAACTACGTTTTGCGATTTGCGAATTATATAGAAGCACCTTCCAAGATCGTTTCTAATGCGAATTGTCCAAGATATTCTGGCCCCATGTAAAAATCTTTAGATTATAGATTATTCTGACTGATTATCTTTCAGTGATACGATATGATTTTTACAATATGTTAATCTGTAGTGAAAGTTGTATTATATTTCCTAATCTAATTCTTTATGAAAACATATGGAAAAAGAGAAGTGTTTTTGCAAGAAAATATCCTTAAACTCGCCTCTCATCTGAGTGACAGATAACACTTTACTTTCAGTTTCAAATTATCGTCACATTTCTAGAAATCTGTAAATAATCTATATCATTAAGATAACATTTATGAATGGATTATATCAATCAAGTTAATTGCTTTTAATCTGTTCAATCATTTGACATCAAACATCCATAAGAGATGTGTTTAGCTATAATAAGAAAATTTGCCATTGAACTTTGCACGTTGTAATTTCTGTGTCTCTGAAAAATGAACCGTATAATAAAATTATGTGATAAATACTTCTCAAAGATATAGTGTCAATTGAGAGAGAGAGAGATAGAGCCGACAATACAACAAACTCGCTAGAAGCCGTACAGTATTTTTTCACTATATAATGCACAATCCGAAACTATTGTATCGCGATCCAGGTTTGCATTTAGTTTAAGAAAGTGTGATAAACATGTTCGTAAATTTTATTTATTGCTAATATAGGATTAAATGTCATCATCTTTTTGTTGACAGTTAGCTCGCGGGCATGACTAAAGCAAACAATATAATGCAATAACGATTACTCTAGAAGTAATTACGTGCGATTATATGTATGGTATATTATTAAATAGCACGTTAAGCTCCGACAATAGTTGACACGTCAAAACGGCGGAGTGGCTTGACACTGTCGAAAACTCTCGGAATAATAAAACGCAGCCTGATATTATTGATGTATTTTCTTCGTATGAAAATTTTATCTCACATTTAGCATGAAATAAATGAGAAATTAATCGATTTTCTCTACATTCGAATGCCGTTAAGATATGTGAAACCGACGAGATGGATTCTTTTTATGGTACTTCAATTATCATAAACTTCTTCCAAGCTGCCTTAATCAATCTTCATTCGGAATAATACAATAACAAATATAACTTTTAAAAATATTACAAAACTTTTATTTCTTTTAAGCTGAACGTGATAAAGTTTTTCATTATAGAGATATATAGCTCTTCAAGTAAATTAATTCTTTCTCTAAATTTATCCTGCTATATATTTAGTCAAGTACATTCACGCATAATTTTAATGATATAAAATTTATTAATATTTATATATCGTACATTATTTTTATCATATACAGTAAACGCAAAAAGTATTCGTACAGACGAGATTTTTAAAAGTCTTATTTGTAGAAAATAAACATTAATTAGCAATTTAATAATAATAAGTACCATCTTAATATAAACAAAAAAAGCTTCATAAAAATGACACTGTTCGTGATCTTAGAAACTAAATTTCTTGATTGTACGAATGTTTTTTGTGTCCAAATAAAACATTTTTTATTTTTATTAAGATAATATATTTTAATTGTAACTTTTTAGATAAAATAATTTTGACAAATGTATAATTTATTATAATCTTTGTTAATAAACTGCTAATTAATGTTTACTTCCTAAAAATAAAGTTCTTTTAAAAGATATCTCCTTATGAATATTTTTATATGTACATATCAACTAAAGTTCATAGCCATGTTCCGATATACTGCCAATACTCTGAAAATTTATAGTAAACGTAACGTACACTTTAATAGATTTTTAATACTGGTAGTATTATATATTGGAACATGGCCTAAGTATTGACACCGTGGTGTAGTTTCCATTAGGCACAGTATAGATCTAAAGTTTCAATACTAGGTGTATTATAGAGATGTCTGCTTCAAACCGCGCTCTGGAGGCATTAAAATCCACATCGTTGCATTGAAATAAGTCACATTTTTCGGCCACACCCGAAAACGGAAGAATTTATGAGACGGACGGGAGCAAAAACTATATAGACGTACTTCCGCACGCCTTCGAGAGTGAATTAGCGCATTTCTTTCTCAAAAAATACATTTCACGTTTCTCTCTCCCCAACCTTTTGCGTAACGCTCGATAAACCTTTCTCGAGTAAATCCATCTCGTCGGTTTCTCTCTCGGCGCCATGTAAATATATCATTCGTGTTTTGCTGTACGGTGCCACGTCTCTGCAAATGAATTTCCTGGAGCGCTTCCTTCCTCCGTCCGGGAGACAGACACAGAAACGTCGAGCGGTAGCTGCGAGGAGGAGGAAGAGCAGGAGAAAGAGGAAACGTAAAGTGCGGAAG